CCCACCTTATTTTGCTGTGCTCTGTTGCTTGAAGAACTTTTCTCCCAGCCAACTCTGATACAGGAAGTGAGGTGAGCTGAACAAAAAAGTGCTTAAAATAATTCATAGTGCAGCAAGGTGGGGAGAAGAGGCTGTAGCTCTCCTCACATCTATGGTTAAAAAAATAATTACACACACCAGCCCTAATTTAGACGTGAATGGGTGTAACACATGAATAAATAGACACAAATACTCCGTCATGTTAAGTTTGATCTTCAAAAATCTGTGTGGTTATGAATGGAGTGTACTTGTATAGTGTAGAATTTTAGTATCAGTTATGTTAGATTGTAAAGATTCATATTTTATTCCCCCCCCCCAAGAAGAGTGGAGTAAGTCATAGGGTTATCAGCATCCGGTTCACTTGTCATCAGGGCTAGAGAGTTAGCTGGTTTGAAAGGAGCAGATTCACATAGTCAGGTGATCAAAGGATACGTTTGGTCATAGTTTGATTAATGTGTGGTTTACAAAGGAAAGCCTGAAAATATGAGAGGCTGCATGTGCCTTTCTGGATGTGTTTTGGTAGCCAGGAGATGGGATGTATATTCTGAACATGCTGCTGCCCTCATGCAAAGCCTCCTGCCCTATTTTTGCTGTTAGGATTAATATAGTATAATAATTATTTAATACCATGTTTTGATCTTCTTGGACTGCAAGAAGATCAAATCAGTCAATCCTAAAAGAAATCAACCCTGACTGTTCCCTGGAAGGCCAGATACTGAAGCTGAAGCTCAAATACTTTGGCCATCAAATGAGAAGGGAGCACTCACTGGAGAAGACCCTGATGCTGGGAAAGATTGAAGGTCAAAGAAGAAGGGGATAACAAAGGATGAGATGGTTAGACAGTATTATTGATGAAATGAACATGAAGATGAGCAAACTCTGGAGGACGACGGAGGACAGGAAGGCCTGGCATGATGTAGTCCATGGGATTGCGAAGAGTTGGACTGAACAACAACAGACAGACTAGAATTGCACACAGTATTCCAAATGAGGTTACTCCGTCGATTTATACAGGGGCATTATGATACTGGCTGATTTGTTCTCAATTCACTTCCTAATAATCCCCAGCATAATGTTTTTATTACAGTTGCACACTGTCTCGACATTTTCAGTGAGTTATCTACTATGACTCCAAGATCGCTCTCTCGGTCAGTTTCTGCCTGTTCGGACCCCATCAACGTGTATTTATAGTTAGAATTTTTGACACCAATGTGCATCACTTTCCACTTGGCCACATTGAACCCCATTTGCCACATTGACACACACTTGCCCATCCTCAACAGATCCCTTTGGAGTGCCTCACAATCCTCCCTGGTTCTCACCACCCTGAACAATTTAGTGTCATCTGTAAATTTAGCCACTTCACTGCTTACTCCCAACTCCAAATCATTAATGAACAAGTTGAAAAGCATTGGACCCAGTACTGAGCCCTGTGGTACCCCACTGCTTACCACCATCCACTGTGAAAATTGTCCATTTATACTCTCTGTTTCCAAGTAATTAGTTAATTTTTGATCCACAAGAGGACTTGTCCATTTATCCCATAATTGTTGAGCTTACTTAGGAGCCTTTTATCAAAAGCTTTTTGGAAGTCAAGGTAAACAACATCCATTGGATCCCCCTTGTCCACATGTTTGTTCACCCCCTTAAAGAACACTAACAGGTTAGTGAGACAAGATCTTCCCTTACAGAACCCATACCGAATCTTCCTCAATAGTTTTTATTCATCAATGTGCCTACTAATTCTCACCTTAATAATGGTTTCCACCAACTTACCCGGTATCGACATCAGACTGACTGGCCTGTAATTTCCCGAATCCCCTCTGGAACCCTTTTTAAAGATAAAGGTGACATTAGCTACCTTCCAGTCCTCAGGAATGGAGGCAGATTTTTGTCAGGAGATCCACAAGTTCACATTTGAGTTCTTTCAAAACTCTTGGTTGTATGTTATCCGAGCCTGGTGATTTATCAGTTAAGTTGTCTGTCAGTCACAGGACCATCTCTCTGGTCACCTCAGTCTGACTCAGTTCTTTCAACATCCCTCCCAAAGTCAGCGGTTCTGGAGTGGGCTAGTACTTCTCATCTTCCAAAGTGAAGACAGAGGAAAAAAATGTATTCAGCTTCTCAGCCATTTCACTATTATCCTTCAGTAATCCTTTTACCCCTTGGCCTTCAAAGGGCTCCATTGCCTCCCTGCCTGGTTTCCTGCTTGTAATGTATTTGAGAAAGTTTTTTGTTAGTCTTTATGTTTTTTGCAATATGCTCCTCATATTCCCTTTTTGCCTGCCTGATCACAGACTTGCATTTTATTTGCCACAGCTTGTGTTCCCTTTTATCTACCTCACTGAGACTAGCTCACTGCTTAAAGGAATTAAAGGAATCCTTCTTACCTTTTACAGCTTCCATTACTTTGTTAACCATGCAGGCCTGTTGCTGGTATAGGCAGCATTAATTCCCCAGCAGCTATCAAAATCATGCATTTAAAGTCTTCAGTATCACAATTTTAAGGACCACCTTAATGTTTGACCCATTCACTAGTAAGTTCAGAATAAAAATATTGTAAGTTAATGTGTCCATTGGTTCATCAGCTGCAGTTCTGCATCCGCAATGTTTCTGAAAATTATATGCAAATTTCATTAATTGCCTACAACTAAAACAATGAATTAGTTGCAGCTCAACACATCCTGGTCTGTTTCTATAGCTCTCTGTGCTGAATAACATGTTCACCTCTGCTCTGTATGGAGATGTATGACAGCAGTGTGCCAGAATTCCAGATGAATGATAACATTGTCTGTGGTTCAATAATTGAGCTTTTCTTTCCTGCTAGTACATTTATTTTTTTGTTATGAAAAGTACCCTATAAAGCACTGTTTGTATTGATGTCAGTGTATAAATTGTAAGTAATTGTAGCAGCACCAGCAGTAGCATGCCTGCTAAAAGAAAATACCTATAATAAGATGAAAGTTAACTGCAGACTATATATCTGTCTACAGAATCTACAATGCATTCCTTGTTAATAGTGAAAGTAATTTGAATTACAAGGTAGTTCTGGGTTTGAGCCAGGAAATGTAATTTTAAAAATATTTTTATATTTTTACTACATAAAACAATAAAAACAGTACAAAATATTAAAAATACATCACAGTTGATAAATAATTTTTGATGCTCCTCTGGATGACATGTTACACTTTCTAAGAGCAAAATAACTCCCTCCCCCCAAAAAAACCTAAGTTGGATGTATGTTATGTTGAAAAATAGTAGCTATAATTGCTGAAGAGAACACTTCTGGTTTCCATTTTTGGATTTCAGATTCGAAATCAAAGTATTACTGAGATTCTCTGTTCTGTTTTTAAATTTGCAGCTCCTCATCTTTAAAAAATACTGGGTGGATCTTGTTCCTTATGTCTCGTTTCTTTTCATTGCTACCTTCTGGGGCAAAAACTTTATATGAAGTGTCTTACATATAACACAGTGGGATAATGAACTCCCATCAGGGATCCAAGTTGTATTGCAATGGTAATGATGGATTATACCTTAAGAAGCTGTCATGCTTTCTTCTCCATTGCAATTGTCTTCCCCATTTCCTTATGCATTTTTATGTTGTTTTTGGCTGAACCACTTCTCCATTTTAAAAGTGAAAATCTTTTTGATTCATATTCAGAGAGATTGAACATAATCATTATTGAAATCTGGTTTTTTTTACTCTTTCCCAAATGAGAAATTCCAGTTTCTGGAAGATTTAACTGCTTTTTCAGATTATGCTGCCTCTGTTATATGAAGTTTGATGAAAATCTATTTGATAACTTTTCCAAAAAGAAGAATTTCTTGCAATGTTGTAAAGGCTGCTGGATTCAGCATTTAAATTATGTGCAGTTCTGTATGTCTCTTGCCTTGAAAACCCTAAAGGGTCACCGTAAATTGACTGTGACTTGACAGCACTTTGCACACACCTGCACACACACATGTTCTGGGAGTTATGCAACCTGCCTGAAATAGCAGAAGAGCCTGGGGACAACTTTGAGATTACGCACTGGTCATTGGAATCCCCCACTCCCTAGTTGCAATGTAGATGTGTCCATGAAATGCCACAAAACCAGGAAAAATCAGTTCTAAACACCTAATTTAAATTGGGCAATGAATTATTTAATGAATTCTTGGAGTAGAGGCACTAATTAGGTGGATAAGTTACCAGAGTCTAAATCATTAAACTTCAGGTTTACCAAACAGGTAGTTCACACTGATGAAGAAAAATCAGTTTCTGAGGGGGTGGTGAATAATAATAATTCCTGAAATGAATTCAAAATTAGCATATTATGTAATCCACTTTGAATGTCTACAAGAAAGACAGACTATAAATGAAGTATTAAGTAAATAACACTATATTCTAATATTGACCTGATTTATTGAAAAAATACCTTGTCAGCATACACAATGTTTCAGTGACCTTTTGGTTTCACTTCCTGTTCCTTTCCTTTATATTAATTGTTCTGAGCCTCAGTTGGCCTCACTACTATTTATGTTAATTTGCTGTGATAAACCATATGATTTTTTCAGTGATGTTGGACACAATGTGTTGCCATAACCATTTTGTTTAAATGACTGTGGGGACCAAAAAAGAAGGCAAATGGTGTCACAGGAATGAAGAAGCCAAAATTTTGAACCTGGACATCAATCATTTTTTAAAAACCATGAAAATGTAACAAACTGGCTTCATCCCAGAATTAGTAAATAAATCCCATGCTAGTGGGTGTTTTTATCTTTCTTGGATAACAAGATTCATGGCTTACAGGAGATAACTGTTGGTTTTCTTGCTTTTTTCATGCAGCAGTCTGAAAGTGTAAATGAGATGAACTGTCTGGATTCTACTATCTGAAGAGCTAAGGTATTCTCCCAGAGAATTGTTCTAAATGAGCCTGGGCAAGATACTAGATCTGTGTGACGAGGACTGAGGATATAATAGGATGTCAACTGAGACAGAACTTCAAGTGGCTGTTAAAACCAGCACAAAGAAAGACTCTAAGAAGAAAGGTAGGAACTTCCTGTACTTTATATTTTATTAAACATTATGTTTATGTTATAGTCTTTACAATCTAAAGTATCTATTGTATATGCTGACTATCAGGAGAGGTGGTGGACCATAGTAGGTCCCTTTAAAGAACCACCTAACAGTTGGATGGTGGCTCCAGGCCTGGTTCAAGAGGGCAGATCTTTGAGTGAAACATCTTCTTCCTTCTTATGAGGGAGGCTTCCTTCTCATGAGAAACAGGAAATGGCAAGGGGGCATGCACCTTTTTTAATGTTGCCAGAGAATGAGACCAGTGATGAGTGATTTGGCTATCTGCTTCAGGCTATGCAGGAGGGGAGCCAATGAGAGGAGGTCTCCAACCTTCTCCCCTTCTGAGACCAAGTGGGCAGTACCTCAGGGCCAAATAGGCTTCTCCTGCAACATTAACTTTTGTTCATTTCAATGTATCTGCTTGGCCAATGCAAGTTGTTTAGAAATAAATCAGTGCTGTTTTTATTAATAAAATATACAGAAGATTTCGAACTTATTATGGCGTGGATCCCGTTCTTCCACAAATAGAATAAGTGTCCTCTATTTTTTGTTTGTTTGTTTTCGTTCTTTACATCTTCATCCTCTGAAAAAAAGTGCTCTGGAGAGATGGGATGTGCCATCTGCAACTAAAGCAAGATGGGAATGTTAGTAGAAATCACCTGTCTCTGCTTTTGTGTGAATGAAGCAAAAGGCTTGCACTATAGCAGGAAAGAGGGAAGACCATTTTTTTTCCTGTAAGGTTGCTGATTTCCAGTTAAGTTGAATCTGACCTTGTTTAGGTAGGGCAATCCTAAATGTTTCATGCAAATTTTCAGGGGGCAAATATTTTCAGTGGGAAAAAAGGAACATTTGAACTGGAAGCCCACACTGTTCCCTCCTAAATGTCTTGTGTAGGTTGTTTTTTGTTGTTGTTTTGCTACTGTTCACAGAAAATTTTAGCCCTGCTGCTGCCCTTTGGAACTTTATTTTTGCCTTTGACTTTCTCTTCCAAGCAGGGATCACAAAATGAATATACTACAATCCCTTTGTTGCATATCCCTTCAGATTTAGCTGCATTATGATGTACACAACCAATTCAGAGCAACATTGATTTGGTAAACATTTTTGTCCCTTACGCAGTTGATGTAACCTCTCCTTTCTGCTGAGTTCTCTGCATAATGCTTTTCTGTCTGTCCATATATGCCATCTTGTTGCACAAAGGCTAGGTATTGTTTTAGAAACTGGCTTGATACAAGTGTTAGGAAGCAGCATAAGGAGAAGGCCTTGGCTTCTGTGTCCTGTTTGTTAGCCAGACAGGATAACTGGTTGGTCACTGTGAAATGGGATGGACTGGACCACTGGTCTGATCTAGCAGTGCTTATGTTCTTAAGAATATGTGATAAAAAGTCTTAATGATTCTGTGAGTACATTGTTGCTGCCATATAGTTTTTTGTTTTAAATTTGACAACTTTGAATCATCATGAGCTAGAACAGCAAATGTTTATACTTCTGTTCAAAGTTGTAAGGAAAGCAAATCTCCCTTCTGAGTCCAAAATATCACATAGAGTATCCATGGCTGTCCCACATGTAGAATATGTGGAGTCTCTTAGAGGAGAAGATAGTGAATAAAAATTCAGGCACACCATATCTTGGGGAAAGCTAAATTAACAGAGGTACAAAATTCTGAAATTAAATATTATAATTGAAATTTATAGAATGTAGTTATATTTTATAATTGAAGTTCAGGTACAGAATCATTTATTAGTCGTTCCAAATTCACACAAGTAATTTTTACAGACCCATGAGACCTCTGCTACCCAAAATTCTTACACTGGAATAAAAATATAACTCCCTTATCTTCTTTTTATAGACCAGATGCTCATTTGAAATGCTTATTATCTGAACAGTGTAAAACATGGGGGAAGGGGAAGAGGGGCAAGCTTTTAGTATGTGTTTGCCTTGCATTTGCCAAGTTGCATTTGCAAAGCCTTTGTAAAGTTGATGTGTGGCAAATCACAAAGTTGGACTTTATCTAGTTTTGAGGGTTGTACTGTCACCACTCCAGCCACTCTCCTTCCCTTGATGAGGCAGCCTCAGAAAGATTGGAGTAGAGCCTCAGTTGGGGGGCAGGTTCTCAGACACCCAATTCCTTCTCTTCCCTTCAAGCTAGTCCTGCTCTGTCTGGTGGCCTAGACTTTCAGCCTGATGTATCCTTCTTGGCTCTCAAAAGTGAGGGTTTAAATAGCCTTCAGCAGCTGATAAAGGCCCTACCCATCAATCCCCTGTTTCATGAAACCCCAGAAATAGTGCCGGGCTTGTGCTGCCTTGACAAACATGCCAGATTCTCTGTCTCCTGTGTTACTGGGGTCTCTGGAAAAACCCTAAAGCTCTCTCCTGCTTTTCAGGTCCTTGAACATCTTCCTTCTTGTGGGTGGAGCCCAGCTGTTTGGTGGTATTGTTGAGGCTTGGGGTTGCCATGTCTGGGTTGTAAAATCACTGGAGATTTTGTGGGTGGAGCCTGGGGAGGGCAGGATTTGGGGAGGTGAGGGGCCTCAGCTGCGTATAATGCTGTAGAGTCCATCCTCCAAAACAGCCATTTTCTCCAGAGGAACTGATCTTGGTCATCTGGAGATAAATTCTAATAGTGGGAGGTCTCCAGTTGCCATCTGGAGGTTGGCAACTTTATTGAGGCTTCTGATAGCAGCAGCCTCAGAGCCAGCAGTGATTGGCATGGTCATCCCCAGACCATGATATATGTCTATCTTGACTTTCCTTGATAGAACTCAGGGCAGTTTACATGGTTCTCCACTCACAACAACCTTTTGTGGTATATAAGACTGAGGGAGAAACTGAGGCTCAAGTTCATTCAGCATGGTTCATGGGAGAACTCAGGTCTGCCCATTCCTTTTACAGCACTCTGACCATGATACTGGATCATATGCGGCTAACAAATCATCCAGATTTTCCCCCTTTTCTACTTGCATCTGCTAGTCATTGTAATTGTTGTGTATTCATAGAGAATGTACACGCGCTTGGGCTCGCACATGGTCAGGAGCACAAGCGCAGCTTCAGGTTCCAACACAATAGCGGGCGAGAATCCTAGGATCGACCTATCGGCCACCTCAGATCCCGTGCCCAACCTATGGAGATTAGTCACCATGTAAATAGCCTATCACGGGTGGTGGTGGTGTGTGTGGTGTGTTTTGGGGATATAAGCAGGGCTTCGGCCTGGGAAGTTTGTCTTGTGTTTTTCCAATAAATTATGAGCTGTTCACTTACATGTGTCTGAACCCAGTATATTATAGTAATATTGATCTTTTCTTCCAATCAGTAACATGAACTGGTTCATAGAGTCCAGAGCTGATGGTTCTTTTGCATGCGAACTAGTGATAGTGGGAGAAAACTCTGTCTCTTCTAGATACAATTCCTAAGGTAAAATGTACACTCCATCTTAAGCAGAGTTACAACCTTCAAAATCCATTAACCACATTGGAAGTAGAAGGGTGTGACTCTTTTTAGGACTACACTGGTTAGTAAGTGTTTTCTGATAATATTGAAAGTACAGTATTATTTTAAGAACTGTGTTCCCATGACAATTTTACTGTTGTGTCTAGGTATTCTGAGAGATCTCTACTTTCTATGAAGCTTGAGCATTATAATGTATACCTTGAGTGTGGTCACATGAGCAAGATAATCTGGGGGGGAGAAGTGAGGCCCTTTGCTCTGGAGCGAAATGAAGCGCGGTAGCGTGATCAGACGTTCCCCTGAGGCTCTGTGCTCAGGCCGTCAGCCGCCGATCACACGTTGATGGTGAAGCGTGGCAAAGAAGTTTGTGGGGGGGAAGAAGCAGCATGGCGCGATCACACATGTGGTGATTGCAAGCAGCCGCTTCCCAATTAGACGGCCGTTCCCCCCCAATTGGAGTTTCCGTATGCGCATGAACACGGAAGCGAATCCGTAGAACAGTGGGCATGCGCACAAATGGGAACCCATCCGCAGACTCCCAATCTCATCCACGATGGATCAGCTGCACCCATGGCTCTTTGGACAGGTTGACAGGCTCATCAGGAGTCCCCAGAACCCACCCAACGCTACCAATGGAGAGGGAGGCAGACCTCCTGGGTACATTCATCCTATCTGTGTGTGCAGCAGTGGGGGCACTCACCCTCCGGAGGCAGGAAGCATGGCAACAGTGGAAGTGACAGATACCAGCAGGAGACGGAGGACTGCCGTGGCCGCAAGATATGTAGCCAGGCATCGAACCTGGTCAAGGTGGTGGTAGGCCAGTATGACAAGAGACACCCTCCACTTCATCTGTCTAGCAAAGGAGCGCCCAGTCCACCACTGGTGGGTGTACCCAAGGTCCAGGGACTGGTGGACGATATTTGTCACCCATGTCTGGGGGGATGAGCAGTGGCTCAAGCACTTCAGGATGTCCAGGTAATGCAGACAGGGTGTACACCAACCCCAGCCATTGGCCTGTGGTATGCTGGGTACATTTGGTAGTGTGTGAGTGGGACAGATCGCTGTGGCCCCCATATGGCAAGAGCACACGGCAAGGGAACATGGAGACAAATCTGGCAGCCAGGGGCAGTGACATTCCAGCACGGCCTCCAACCCCCATCCATCCTGCTGACAGATAGGGGTGGTGCTGTGATATGACCACCCCCACCCCCACATGTATGAGCCCTGGCTAAGTTCAGCACTTCCCCCTCCGCAGCCCTGCCCACAGTGGTAACACATGCATGGCTGCAGTGCTGTAGACAATGGCTGGGGGAACCTTGACATCACAGTCATCACAGGCCAGGGGAAAGGGGGGTAGGACAAGTGGACCTCACATCCACCACACACTGAGCATGTGGCTGTGATGATACTATGTCCCCACAGGTCAACATTCACCTGGCTGGTGGACGCCCTCCAGGATAGACTGCAGCGAGAGCGGATGGAGATGTGTGTTCCTGTGTCAGTGGAGGAGTGTGTTGCTGTGGCCATG